GGCGCTCCGTGTCATCGGTTTCTGTCCCCGTTCACCCACACCCAGTGCTTCCCTCTTTCTCTTCCCCGCAGGAATCCTCAACTTCTGTGCCAATAACTACCTGGGGCTCTCCAGCCATCCCGAGGTGATCCATGCTGCAGTGGAAGCCCTGGAGAAGTTTGGCGCTGGGCTCAGCTCTGTCCGCTTCATCTGTGGTACTCAGGTACTGGGCAGCATCCCCTGCTTTAGGGTGGCCATTCTCAGACTCCCCTCTCAGTATCTGCATGCATGAGCAGCGCTAAGATACACGTGGCCAGGTAGAAAAATAAGCCTGCTGTGTCCCCACCAGCCAAACGTCTGGAAATATGCCAACTTCAACTATTACAACCCCTCACACAGCAAAGGAACTAAGCACCCCTCTGAATTCATAGAATCACAGAGTGGTTTGGGTGGAAGGGACCTTAAAGCTCATCCAGTTCCAACCCCTGCCACAGGCAGGGACACCTTCCACTAGACCAAGTTGCTCCAAGCCCCTGTGTCCAGCCTGGCCTTGAACACTGCCAGGGATGGAGCATTCACAGCTTCCTTGGGCACCCTGTGCCAGTGTCTCACCATCCTCATAGTGAAGAATTTCTTCTTTTTATCTAATCTAAATCTTCCCTCTCTAGGTTTGAAAGACATTCAGAAAATGAATGTCTTGTCCCCTCCCTTAAGAGTCAAAATTACAGCCAGCCTGACTTGAATTACCTCTATCAAACCCAGCCTGGTTTATCCCCGTCAGCTGGTTAAGTGCAAAGAAAATTCCCCCCATGGGTGGGGAGCTTGGAGTCTCCTGCTGTGCTTGCGGTGTCCAAACCCATAATCGCATTTTAGGGCCGTGTTTGCAAACACTTGCTGAACACAATTAACTTCTGCCACACACGCACACCTTTTCTGGATAAAACCTGTTTTCTCCCTTTGCAGTCAGCGTCTAACAGCAGTGGGCAAGTGAGGACTTGTACTGCTCCACCAGTGACGCTCGCCTCTCTTGTCTCTTTAGAGCATACACAAGGACCTGGAGGAGAAGATTGCACGTTTTCACCAGCGGGAAGATGCCATTCTCTATGCCAGCTGCTTTGATGCCAATGCTGGTATCTTTGAGGTTTGTAGGGCTCTCCTTGTGTTTTGCATGGAGGAGGGAGGTGATGGTGATATGCCTGCCATGCCTTCCAGAGGCTCTGATGTGAGCTCTGTGCCGCAGAAAAGATGGCAGTGACTGGTGGTGGAGAACCCTGACTTGGTGCCTTTGGACTGGGGAAGCTACGTGGAGGTGTTTAATCTGCCCTCACCTCCCCCTTCTCCAGCCAGCTGCAGCTTTTGGGGAGGGCTCCCATTTTCCCCCTTGAAGCATAGGCAGGGGAAAGGGGTGATTCCCCCAGGCTTGCTAGGGAAGGGGAGGGAGGTTTTGAGCTCAAAAGCCACAGGCAAGAGCCTGGCCTAAGGAAATCAGAGGCTTTCTTAGGAAAAGCTATAGTCAATCACAGCCTTGTCCTCTGCCCTGAGAGGGGCCAGAAGATCTCAGTGAGGTGGTGCCCTAGAGCAAAGGATGATCCTTTCTGTTTGGCGTGGGCAGGCCCTGCTGACCCCAGAGGATGCAGTACTCTCGGATGAGCTGAACCATGCCTCCATCATTGATGGGATCCGCCTGTGCAAGGCTAACAAGTACCGCTACAAGCACATGGACATGCAGGACCTGGAGGCCAAACTGCAGGATGCGCAGGTATGGAGGTCTGCTCCCACCTCAGTGTGAGTTTAGCTGTGCTACCTGCACAGTAACCACTCCCAGAGGGTGAGCTCTACCTTTTCCTATGCAGTAGGCTCTTACACGAGCTGGACTATGTCCCAGTCTTCCTCTCTGGCCGCTCTCCTCAGGGTGACAATCTTCACCTGTGGGGACACCACTCTCCCCCCTTGTCTGCGGCTGGTGGCCACTGATGGTGCCTTCTCCATGGATGGTGACATCGCACCCCTGAGGGAGATCTGCCAGCTGGCCCAGAAGTATGATGCCCTGGTATTCATTGACGAATGCCATGCAACAGGCTTCCTGGGACCAAATGGCCGGTAAGTGACCTTTTCAACCCTGTTTCTTCCTCCTGACCCCAACTGCCTCTGAAGCAAGGCCAAAGGTATTGATGACCAACATGTTCTTGTGTTGGAGTCACCATTTCTTGAAGGTTTTGCACCCCACCTTTGGGGCACCTGAGGGGATTGAAGGGAGACACTTTAGCAGTGACCCGTCCCTACATGACAGCTGCTTCTCAGTGTGTAAGGGGTGGTGCTACCATCTCGTCTGCCTCCAACTGGGAAACAGTTGGACTTCCTGATTTCTGAATCCTCCTCTCAGATCTCACTTTCAAATGCTTGGGTCTTGGGGATTTTGTGGAGTTAGCTTGCACAGATGGATTCATTCCCACAGGGCAGCTTTTCCCTCCATCCCCTGGAGATCCTCCAAGTGCCAAGCAGTGCATTGGCTGCAGGTGTTTGCCGAGAGGAGATGCTTCATGTGCTTGTTTTGGTAGTGCTCTAACTATTAAACATATGTGTGGTAAGTTTGAGCACTCTCCCATCTGTAAGGGATGAAAAACCCATGTTCTTATCTCAAGAGATCCCAGCTTAGCCTTTCTGCAAGAGAAGGGAAGGTTGACACTTGGGTTGAACTACCACATGGGGGTGTTATTCCTCTAGTAGAGACCTGGCTGGTGGCTCTTTGTTTCCCTTGAGGCATCAGGTGTAGAGCAGCATCCCTGGTGCATGCTGGCACAGCAGGTAATGTGACATTCCTCTTTCTACAGGGGTACCGATGAGCTCCTGGGAGTGATGGACAAAGTCACCATCATCAATTCCACCCTAGGAAAAGCTCTTGGAGGAGCTGCAGGTGAAAGCATTTCTTCTCCAAGGCTCTCCATGCCCTAAAGAGCTCCACACCATCACTTTGATGTTTCCTTCCTCTGCCTAATGACAGAGCCACAATTGCATGTTATCCTTTTCTGCTGGTGGCATGAGGCTCAGTTTGGGACCCTGCTGCAGAGTCAAGGGAGGTCCTGCCATGTGCTCCTTCTGCTTTCACCTTCCTCATGCATTTGCCTTTGGGGTCAAGGTGGAAACTCTTGGTAACACTGCATCAGCTGCGATGCCTTTTTTTAGGCTGGTTTGTACTGAAAGTCCTGCTGTAGGTGACAGGTTGGCTTTATCGATGGGCCCCCCCTCCGAACAGGTTACTCTGGGGTGCCTTGTCCATTTCTCTTTCATCTATCTGCAGGTGGGTACACAACTGGCCCCAAACCCCTCATTGATTTGCTCCGACAACGTTCCCGCCCGTACCTCTTCTCCAACAGCCTGCCGCCCGCTGTGGTGGGCTGTGCATCCAAGGCACTGGACCTGCTCATGGAGAGCAATGCCATTGCACAGTCCATGGCTGCCAAGACCCAACGGTGAGAGGGCTACATTGGGGTGAGAGCAGGGGGAGAGATTCATTAGGAATGTGTTGTCCATGTGTGTTTATTCACCCTGCAGTGACAGCCATAGGTGGTTTGCGAGTGGTTAGGGGGTGCTCAGGGGAAACCACAGGATATGCCTGTATGTGTCAGACAGATGTGTGGGCAGATGTTTCACATCTGGATGCTCTGTGTGCTGAGACACGTCTGCCCCTCAAGCAGCTGCAGTCCCATGGATCTGAGCAGGAAATGGCAGGAGGTCACTCCAAAGGGAGGGATCCCTTCCCTGCACAGGAGACGCACATTGAAGCAGCACCACATCCAGCCCTTGGTGGCCAGGGCTCCCAGGGGAAAGCAAGGCAGGGGTCCCCCAAGGACAGGGGTGATGAGGCTTGACTCATCCTCTTGTTCTCTTCAACAGGTTCAGAAGTAAGATGACGGCCGCCGGCTTCACCATCTCAGGGAAAGACCACCCCATCTGTCCTGTCATGCTTGGGGATGCTCGGCTGGCTGCAGTGATGGCTGAAGACATGCTGAACAGAGGTGAGCCAGAGAGGGAGGTCTAGATGCAGACACATGCCCTGAGGGAAGGGACAGCCTGTGGAGGTGCTACCACCATCCCTCCTCCAGATGATGTTCCTGCATGAAACCTGCAGCCTCCAGCTGCAAATGTCCTTTTGGTCTCCCCCCAGACACTGCTGGCTTCACCTCCTCTCTCTGTTGGAGGTGGGGGTTTACATTAGCCCTCTTTGTTCTGCTGTGCTGGACTGTGTCCCCACCAGTGGCCCTAACCCTTGTTTCCATGGCTGGGAGCAGATGCCACTTGAAAACCCCAAAGCCTGGAGATGGTTATTGAAAGGGGAGGGAGGATCCATAAGCCCTTCTATCACCCAGTACTAGCTCAGCCTCCCTCCCTGCAAGCCAGCTCTAACTCTCCCTGCATTTCGTCCTCAGGCATTTATGTCATTGGCTTCAGCTACCCTGTGGTCCCTAAGGGAAAGGCCCGCATCCGGGTCCAGATCTCGGCTGTGCACAGCGACGAGGACATTGACCACTGTGTGGAAGTCTTCACCGAGGTGGGACGGAAACATGGAGCAATACCTTGAGAGGCCAGCAAACACCTCCTGTGACACTGTCCTTGCCCATGACCAAGTGCCTATGCCAGGAGAAAAGGCTTGAGGAGCACGCTGTGAAAAGCAGGACCAATCTTCAAGGCATCACAACCTGTGGGAAGCTATGGCTGTTGCAGCGTGCTGACAGCGGCACTGGTAGCCAGCTCTTGCATTATTAAAGGTGTCCTGCAGTGCAGCGGATATTTGGCTCTTATTTTCTCATCCAGGAGCTGCAGCCCATCCCCATCTTCTCTTTGCTGTGGCTGGGCACTCTGCTGTGTCTTCCCGGAAGCCTCAGTCTTGGTGCTGAAGTGCTGCATCTCCTGCTCTTTCTGCTGATGAAAATCTAATGTTGCTGCTATGCCTGATGTCAACTGTTTCCTCCGTGCTCTCCTGTATGTCCAGTAGCATCACCCTGGTAGATATGCCAGCTGTAATTCCCCACTGAGGCAGGTGGTTTCCTAACCCTTTGGCAAGCTGTGCTGCCAGCAACTGGTTTGAGGTAGGACATGGGCCAGCTGAAATGCTGGTGCTCCTTTCTCCTAGGTCTGAGGCTTGCTGGGTCCCTGGGGCTGGCTCTAAGGCTTTACCCATCACTATGGTGCTCCCAAACCTGCTCTGGGAGCTGCGTCTTGCCCCACAGAGGCTGTTGGGCAGCAGGCAAACCGAAGTGGCAGAGGCCAGCAGCAAGAGGGCCTGTGTCTGCCTGGGGCTGAAGCTGAGGGAAGAGCAGGTGCCAGAAACCTGTAATTTTCCTCCATCAGCTGCAGGCTGGGATCTCTCTTATTTGTTCCAGCAAGCTGTGCTGGGGTAGCAATTTAGCACTCAAGCTAAGTGGGACCCAGGCATCTCTCAGGATTGCTTTGTTTGCATCAGTTTTGCTGCAGATGAGAAATCATGTGTGACCTGCTGTCTGCCCACGTGCTCAGCTGAGGACCAGCTGCCTCCCCGCAGCCAGGGACAGCTTCCAGCCACAATGAGCTTGTGCTGTGCTTGAGTGCCCAAGCACTGGGTCATGTTAACAAAGCCCTGCTCTGAAAATACTACCTGCCATTAGGCACTCAGGGAGTGAGCTACAGGGCAGTAACGTGTCTGACCTGAACCAAAGCAGCTGCAGAAGAATACAGAAGTTAATCCAGGGTTGCAAGGCTTCACGGATGCAGAGGACGGGAAAAATGGCATTTTCCATAGGGCTGCCACCAGACTCTGTTAGAGCAGCTGCTAGTGTAACTGGTCTGCTGGTTTTATTTAATTTTCCATCTCCACAGGACCCTGAGCTCAGCCTGCTGGTAAAGTATATTATGGAGCTCCTTCTGCATAGCACCAGTGCTGCAAACCCTTACCCCTTATCAACAGGCAGTATTTGGGGAATGGGGAATGTAATAGGGAAGCAGCAGGGGGTTGCGCTCAAGCCCCTCTTGTTTCAGCCAGATGATCTCTTACAGGGCCCAAACTGAACCACCAGTGTTTTGAGCCTGATGCACGTGCACTCTATCGCTCCCCCCTACTTGCACATCTCCTTTACAACCCCGTATCATGCTCCCGCCTCTCTCCCTCCTGCTGGTCGCCCTGCTGATGTCTTTGCTTCACTCAGGGCAGCGAACCCAAGCAGTTTAACCCTGCTCCAGCATTCAAGTCCCCCTCAACGGAGAGCAGCCATACAGATGTCTCTCTCACCGCTCAGCTCTGCAGCCTCCCTCGCTGCAATGCACGCGCTTGCTCCTGTGTGCACACATGGGCTCTGCTCTTCTCCTCTACCTCACCAGGCACCTTCCTCTCCCCTCTGCCTCTCTTGGGTGCCCCCCATTCTCTGTCTGCCTCTCTGCCTGCTTCAAGGCCAAGCTCTGCAGCAGACTGTGGTTTGCATGACATGGGGAGTACCAGAGCCCAGGGAAGGCAGGAGGGTCAGATGATGGCACATGGGAAATGAACAATGCAGCACCCATATACTGCAGGCATCACGTTAATACCACATTCCCAGGCAAAGCCTCCAGCTCTTTATTTCTTCAAGGCCTCCCAGCCTAGGTCTGACATACAGCTCTGTGCAGCTTTTAGCGCAGAAAGCAGAGGACTTTTTGCTGGGTGGAATGTAAAAGCAGATGCCACTTCTCAAGGGTGCAGTTCCCACACCAGGATAGTCAACCCACTCTAGACCCTGTATGCTGCTCTGCCAGGCTTCCCCTAGGTCTTGAGTGTGTCTAGGGATATACACCATGTATAGGGATAGGTGTGGGATCCCCCTATGTCACCCATTGTAGCTTGAAGCAGGGCACTGTCTATCCCATCCTGTTTCCATACACACCCCCAAACACTTCCAGTTGTGGGTCCCTGCCCACCTCCCACTTCTTCCACCCTTACCAGACTGCCTCACTGCAGCCCCAGACCTGCTCCCCTTCCCGGTGATTTACCCACACCTTTCCCCCCCGGGGTCCCTCCCTCTGCCCCTTCCCTGCCCTTGCTCCCTGCCCATGCAGGCAGGGATGCCCCAGCTTGGAAAGAGTCCACTGGGGCTGAATGAAACAGGGTCTGAACCTGCTTTTGGATGCCACGATTCCCCATTCCCACATGGGTGCTAATACTTCCCTGTGCTGGCAGGCGAGGGGCAAAGCAGCTGTGTCCTCCTACCCAGGGGCTTCAGTGAGAAACAGCAATGACCCAAGCTGATCCCACTTCCTTTCTGGAGCTTTATTT